ACTTTACTTACTAACTTCTTTCCTAATTCTTCATTTTCTAACACTTTACTTACTAACTTCTTTCCTAATTCTTCATTTTCTAACACTTTATTTACTAACTTCTTTCCTAATTCTTCATTTTCTAACACTTTATTTACTAACTTCTTTCCTAATTCTTCATTTTCTAACACTTTATTTACTAACTTCTTTCCTAATTCTTCATTTTCTTTATTTACTAATGTATTTTCTAACGATTTATCTAATGATGTGGTTCCTAAGAATGTATTTTCTAACGATTTATCTAATGATGTGTTTCCTAAGAATGTATTTTCTAACGATTTATCTAACGATGTGTTTCCTAACAATGTATTTTCTAACGATTTATCTAACGATGTGTTTCCTAACAATGTATTTTCTAACGATTTATCTAACGATGTGTTTCCTAACAATGTATTTTCTAACGATTTATCTAACGATGTGTTTCCTAACAATGTATTTTCTAACGATTTATCTAACGATGTGTTTCCTAACAATGTATTTTCTAACGATTTATCTAACGTGCCAGCTGCTCTTTCCACTGAAATCATTCTCAAGGCGATTGGGTCAACATATAAATTGCAAGCTTCCATGAAATCTCTCCCTAAAATTACTTCAGACCTCATAGATTCATCAGGGACAACTATTAACCAAAAATTTATTTTCTCAAACTTCTTGAAAATATGAACAAATGTTTTTCCAATCACATTTAACTGGCTTTCATTTAGCCCAAAGTAATTTTCTGCGTGTGCTTTAAGTTTTATTCCAACTGGGACACACGATTTTTTAATAAACGAAATAGGACTTCCTGAATCTATGAGGCATTCTGCAATAATGGAGGCATTATCTTTGGACTTAAAATGTATACTGATTAACCTTACGAACTTGTTTCCAATATCATCCTTCCTCTTCGTGCATTGTGCCACCATATGATCCTTAGCGCCGCAGTGGTAGCACGTACCCTTCTCCCTCTTGGGCTTCTGACAATCTCTTGCCCAATGCCCCTTATAGTTGCAATTGAAGCAACGCGTCTCCTTCATTGCATTATCGAGCCCTGGTCCCACTGCTGTTGTCCCTTTTCCTCCAGTAGATCGATGCAGTGGCAAACGCACCTCTGCAAAAGCCCTTACCAATTTGCTGGGGTCTTCAAAGCACTGTATCCTGGCCTGCGCGCGTAAAACTGCATTTGGGATTCCTTCAATGAGACCATCCAGTAGCTCGTCTACATCTAAACGAATTTCCCTTGCTAAACGTATTTTCTCTTCATAATACTGGGTGAACTTCTCATCGACACTCCATATACGTGCCCCAAACTTGCGACGCATTTCGGCCTTGGATATCTTGCTTCCGAATGCTGCTGCCAATCCATCCAATAATGTGCCCAACGGTTGCACAATCCTCGATGAATCATCATGTATCCATTGCATGGCTTTCCCTTTTAATTTGGCCATGCATAGCAACTTTTTTTGCATGTCCGTTAGTTGATATAATTGAGATACATTATTCAATTGCGCTATCCAGTTGCTAATAGACTCCTCCCCAGTGAATTCCACCATAATTTCTTTAGCTAGTTTAAACATCATTGACATCACTTCATCATTGTGCGTTGTATTTATTACACAATTTTCACTGGCGCCCTTTTGGCGCGCGTCAGTCGCGCGTTCTTCGAATTCAACTTCTGCATCGACGCCATTTGCGCTAATTTCGGCACGCTTGCTACTGCCGTCTCTGTCCAATTGTCGTGTGTGAAAATTTTTTAGCTGCTTCTTTGCTGCGTCGATCTGCTCACTTAGCTCTCGCAAAATATTTTCATTCCTGTCTATTTCCTCCTGTTGCATTTGCACTGTCTGCGATACTCCAGTTTGATCTGACTCCTCCTCTCCCTGTTCCACTTCGGGGGCGCTGCCGCGCAAATTTGCGGGCACGCCATTGAGGCGAGCGACAAGTTCAGTCTTGCACCCTTGAGTCGACAAGCCCAATGCAGCTAGCCACTTCTTTAACTGCACCACAGATACTTCGTCTATGCTTAATTTCATTTATGCTTAAATTCATTTTATTTAATTTGAAAAATTAGTGTACTTTATCCCACTTCTGAGATTGTAGTAGGCCTTTTGTTTAATTTCTTTATTTCATAATTTCTTGATATACACACGTCTGCTATTGTTCACATTCAAGCTTAAAATGTATCGATCCTCCTCTTTCTATTACTCAAAATGGCATGTTGCATATCGACAGCCTCCTCAGCCACCAATATGGTTAACTATCGATAGATGTGTATCTATCGATGGTTAACCATAATGCTGTTAACTTAAATCTAATATAACATAGGCTAGTAACCAGCTACAGTATACATAGGCTAGTAGCCTGCTACAAAATTAGGCTAAAAAAAACAAAATCAATCTTTCGATTATTCTCGATAAAAAAATTATCGGGTGATTTATTGAAAAAATAAAGCAAACTCGTACTGCGTATGGTACACACGAGTCATGTCAAATTTCAGCTCTCTAGCTCTTGTAACTTCTGAGATCGACGCACTCATACGGACGGACGGACGGACAGACAGACGGACAGGGCTATATCGACTCAGCTCGTCGCGCTGATCAAGAATATATATACTTTGTCGGGTCTGCCACGCCTCCTTCTGCCCGTTACATACTTTTTTACAAAACCATTATACCCTGATTTCCCATTTTCAATGGGTTCAGGGTATAAAAATACATTTAACAAAACTATTATACCCTGATATCCCATTTTAATAGGCTTAGGATTTATGTGTAAGCAGAAGAAGGCTTCGTAGTCGAGCAGTCACATTTAACTCTTATTTTTGGTTACATATAGCACCTAAACTCTATGCAATATATAGACTAATGTCTACAGTGGCACATTGTATAGCTGCTTGCTCGATGACATGGTGAAGTATATTTCAAAATGGACGTGTTTTTGTACTTGATGAGAATTTATCAAGTTGGACAGATTTATATTAAGGTACTTTTGTTCATAGATTTTGGCGAGAAATATAATCAAAACACTATAATATTTCGAATTTTGTAATTGGAGTCTTTTACGTTTTTCTCCACTACCGACTACTATCGCGTATAGATGGGAATTCGATATATGCTTTCAGTTGCTCATCGGCTATGAAAGTTGCTAATACAATATTAACATCTGGGCGCAAGCTGAAACCGTACAACTGACAGAGAGGCGGAGTGTGAGGGAAGGAGAGAGAGAGAGAGAGAGAGAGAGGGACTGAGCGCTGTGCCTTGCATTACAATGGCCTCACAGTTGTTGGCTTTGGAGCTAAGCTAAGTCTCGTTTGCGGTGCTTACACGAGGTGAGTCGCCTTACTTGGTCATAATTACGTATGCGAATCCATTTCTCAGCCAATTTAATTCGCAATTTATGGACGTAATATTGCGAATAGATTTTATTGCGCCCTCGATTGGCCTAATCAACTTATCGTTTGATTGACGAGTGACGATAGAAAGAGTGGGAAGTGAAGTGAGGGTGGGACAGGTGGGACAGGTGTGACAGCTCATAGGTAACAAATGTCATTGCAATTACGATCACAGATCAATAAAAATGTGTGCTAACGGGGTATATTAGTGGTATGTAAAAACTATTACCACGGAACAAGATGTAACGCCAATAGTGTAAAAAAAACGAAAGGTTTAAATATAGCAAATTTTTGAAGGTCATGCGATGAAAATACCATTAATATCTATTGAGCAATACAGAAGTTATTAAACAACCCGTTCGGCCAATCAGCGAGGGTACATTCCAGCGTATTCTATGAGTCAGCCGCTACTTTAATTTAGATTTGACAGCGAATCTGCTTCAGATTTGCAAATAATAGTTTAAGCAGCGAAATGGAGCTGGTTGTAGTGGGTTCGATACCCACCGATGTTGAGCGTGTTGTTTTTTATTATCTCATTATCTTTTTGATTGCGAAGGTGCGAGTTCGAATGACGCGAAACATGTTTAATTATTTCGAACACTTTTATGACTAGAGTTTTTACTACTTTAATAAACACGTAAATATGTACGTAAATTTCAGCCCACAGATTATTCGGGGTTCGAGGTATCCCCTAGACGGGCTCCCCGATAAGAGTTTTTTTCCCTTATAATTAATGTATCTTTTAGTTTTTCTTGTTGCTGTTTTACTTTGCTAATTTCCGTGAGGTTTTTTCTTCGATATTAATCACGAAGAGATCTATGCTACACATAGACATATTTGTCTAGCTCGAATATTGACTATCGTTATTCTTATGAAAAAAGGGAAAATGCCAGGAAAAACCTTATGACGCTAATAGCCAATATTTGATCAATTGGTGCTATTCACAAGATGTTGATTAAACGCTTTATAGCTGCTGATAGCAGACCAAAGGCCAGAGACAAAACAAGCAAGAGCAACTGAGAGAGAGGGAGAGAGACGTAGGGGGAAATCTCGATAATGTGACTTAATTAGTTGTGTAAATTGCTTTAGGTTGTTGTTTTTTTTTCTATTTGTTTTTATTTATTTCGGTTTTTTTTTAAAGCAAGTGCCGAATTTAATTAACAGAATCAAGAAACATGGCAAATAAACAGATTAATAAACACGCTCGGCCTAGTTGAAAGCGATGCGTACAACGCGTCGTATGTGTAATCAGTGCCAATGCCGATAATCGGCTTACCACATGCTAATGCTGATAATGACAATGACGACGACGATGATGATGATGATGATGATTATAATGATAATGATAACGATAAGCCGAGCATTTGATTAAAGTCAAATACAATCGACGTCGGCTTTATGGCCGATAACCCTTCGCGCTCTACTGCCCGATCGCCCCTCCCACTGCCTTTCGCTGCATGACTGAGCTAAGCGACGCGCTCTCAGCGCTGTTTGCGAGAGCTAGTTAGAGTGGGGCCAGTGGGGCAGTGGGGAGTGAGTATTTCGGTGTTTGGGGCATTTAGCATACGCTTTGGCCGCAACGAGTCGCAACCTGGACGCCAACGCGCGCGTACGTAGCCCCCGCGCGCATTCCCAGTTGTGTATCGAACGCGCGTGAATCGAGTTGAGTCGGGAGAATGTCTCAGGAGGCGGCGTTGTCGTCGCCGTCGTCGCCACTGCTGCTAGCCGCGCAGGCGCTGCCCTATGCGGACGAGCCAGTGGAGGGCGAGGATGAGTTGGAGGAGAAGGACAAGGAGAAGGAGGAGAAGGCAGAGCGCAGGCAACGGGAATGCGAGCAGGAGCAGCCGCGTAAGCAATCTCTCGGCCAGCGACGCAATGTGGAGCTGCCGGAGCTGTATGTGGTCAATGAGCTGCCGGAAGAGCTGTCCAGCGAGCTGGACACGATGCGGGAAAGAGATAGAGACAGAGACATAAAACACTTTGGACCTGGACTGCGACGCAATTCCATTTCATTGCCGCAGGGCATCAACTCGCTGGACTTGGAAGCGCTACGATTGCGCCATCAGATGCTGGCGCAGGAATCTCTGAACGAGGAGAGCCAAGCGGAAAGCGTGAGTAGCCGGCAGCTGAGCGGGAAGGAGGGACAGTGGGAGTGGGACAGATGAGTAGAGCAACAAGCAGTAATGCGACAATGTTGATTCATTTTGCGATTTTGAAAACGAGTTTTTGCCCAATTATATGTAAATTGAGCATTTATTAAAACAAAGCATTCGAAATACTTAAAACACTCGGATAAAACTTCCAAAAAGTCTCCGACTGCTGCCGAACGAGATCTGCCTTATGTCATGTACAAATATCTATATATACATACATACATATACCGTCTATATGTAAATAGATATGATGCAGCATCCGACAGCTCCTCTCATCGATCTATTTGAATCTGATTATTATTGTTGTTCATCTAATTTTCGTTTGCCATTTCAATTCTCATGTTTACACTTTGAGCGTAATTAATGTGCATTGCAAATAGTCGAGGGATTCGATTGCTGAAAGGGAGTAGGCGACTTCTTAGATACCCAGTGATTGCCAAAGGGTGGCTGTATTTAGCGTTGGCATTTCACACCGATTCGATAGAGATCAAAACCCTTTACCTTGGAGCTTAACTTGTGATTCTCTCTTAGCAGAGTTAGATTTATTGTATATAGATCTCTATATAAACCTGATAAATGCATCGGCATCAGTACTCGGATTTCATTTCAAATATCTAAGCCATACGCCATATCAATTCGGAAAAACCCGTTCTGCCTATAGGGCGTAACCACTTAATGAAATATTGCATTACATTAATTACACAATTTATTATAAGAGAATATTAAACACATTTTTTTTACAGTCGTTAAATATAGGTTTCTTTATTACTTAATTGCAATAATATAAATTACGGAAATTATCATTAAAGCCAGTTTACGTTATATTCTCTCTGAATATTTTATACATCAGCCTGAAAGTGGGCAGCAAGTTTAGGATATATTCATGTATTGCCGCCTATTGAAATGGCAATGATTTTTTACCTGAATGTCGACTTGTTTTATTATAGAGACACTGTAGTCTTTTTTTTTTAATTTTTAATTTATTTATTTTTTTTTTTTTTTTGCGTTTGAGGTATTAATAATGATTCATGCACCATCAGACCGGCTAAAAAACCTCGTCTTTTAACTTGGAACCAGTAATTATGCCACACTTACTTTCAACGTGGAGCTCTTCTTAGAGCCCTAATTTCACACTGTAACCGCGTTCCCGAGAACACCTCCTATTTTCCATTAAGAACTTCATTAATTTTCAAACAATTCCAATTCATTAAAAAAATTTTTAAAGTATTGGTATTTTATAGATTTATCTCAAAGATACTTTAATATAAATGTGTCTAACTCCATTGATTCTGATCCAGAACATAACTACTCTCAATTTCAAATATAACTTGTACTTTTTATGAAATAACCAAAACCAAAAAAAAGACGAGTAAAGATGGAAAAGACAAGATGTTTTAATCAGAATACCACTGGACGAAGAATCCTTAAATATAGCCTGTGCCAAAAAAAATGTTGAGCTCATTTTCTTTGGCCAAAATAAAATCATGATCCAACCCATCTGGGGCTATGAAACTTCCATGTGAGGAACAACGACACCTTATTTGTGAAAAAACAAAGCTTCAAGCCACTGAACATGGCACATTGAGAAAAATCGCAGGGGGGAATTCCATTTTCCAAAAACGAGGAAATAATAGACTCATTTCCCCTTTTCTCTCATAACCACATTGAATATTTTGAAAAAATATTTAGATCAAATGAAGATTCCAAATAAAAAATGTGAGCTCAAAAATATGCCGAAGCATAATTAATTAAATTAAAGATTCAAAAGGCGAATAACTAATGCAACAAATTTAATCTGTGTGAATAGACAAAAGGAATATTTTCAAAATCATTTTATTCCCCCGAAAAAAAAAAAAAAAAACAAAAACAACCGAATCATAAAAAAAGTCGTCCAAGTCTTCATCAATAAAGCGAACAGATACCATGAGGCTGATGATGAAATTTGTTCGCTTGTGAAGATGGATTCCCAATTGGGATGTGGCTGACTATTTGAGACGGATAATATACAGAACTGAGTCAGTCCAGCGAAGGGAAACACCGATAATGAAAAATATGACAATCTGCGATATATTTATATTTTATATATGTACATACATATTTCCTTTTATATACAAGTGTATAGTGAAGCTGCCATATTATGTGATGATCGAGGTGGCAGCCAGCTAAGCGGATGGGCGCGAATGTCCAAAAGCCGATAGAATGTAATTTATGGCTAGTAGTTAAGATTAAATGCTAAATCTAGCCGGCCATAATTATAGCGCACGCCGAGCTGAATAATTTACAAGTCTGTCGCAGCGAATTTCGCGGCACATATCAAAATCAAAAACAGACGCCATTGTGCAATGCCACAGCGAGGGCCGCCATCAAAGTACCGAATGAAAACGAATGAAAAGATAGAACATTTAAGAAATAGTATAAAACTGAGAATGTCCGTTATCATTTATATTCATATGCAGTCTAGAAGCTAATTGCATCTAAACTTTATTGATATATGATATAATATACATATTTACATATGTATGTATGTATGTGTATGTCGGACATGGCTCTAAATTATTTTGCTCCATGATATACATACATACATACATATGTATGTACATACAACATAAATTTATTTTCTTTCAGCAAGCGATATTCTTTTTTACTTTGAACGCAGCGAGTCGCTATTGTCTCATTGTTGCTTCTCTTCTTATCCTCAGACTAAAGCAACACACGCACAGCCTCACCGCTCGTGTCTATTTTCTCATTTTCACATAACAACAACAATCCCGCCACACGGGCTGCAGCATCTCTCTCGCTCTCGAGCCTCATTTTCGGCATAGAATTTACCGCTAACCGCTATTCCTCTTTTGTCATTTACTTTGCTTTTTGCATCGCATATAGTAGCGACACAGACACGCCACTATGAAGTTTTACAACATCGCAAAGAAGCATCGCAACATTGTGTCAGAGTGACTGACGCGGCAGCGCACCAATACATAGCTACGTTATCAACATTTCACATTCATGTTATTAGCATAACATGCTCCTGTTATGTAAAATTCTCATGTTAATTACATAAACCTCTGACAAGTTTAAATCCGTTATTAGCATAACTGCTCCTGTTATGTTAAGTTCTCATGTTAAATACATAAACCTCTGACATACATCTACATATACATATGTATATGCATATATCGAGCTTATCAATAAAACTTACAAAGCCTTAAGGAATACCCATTCGTAGCATGACGTTTGGGCGATATATGAAATATCCTTTCTAGAAAGTGCTACATTCATATACTTAATTACATGTAGCATTTCTATTTAAAGCAGTAAATTGAAAAAAACTCGGGCTGTTGGTTATGTTGTGCAGTGCTTCGATTACTCAGTTCGATTGCCTATTGAACTGCCCTCGATCAGAGCGAGTGAGAGAGAATCCAAATAAAAGTGTGAGAAATGCGAAGCCGAAGCTCTGTAATTAATCACTCAGCAACGAGTACTCGCAGTCGCCATGAAGCGCGACGTCGGCCGATTAAACAAACGCATACCAATACACACTCACACTCACACACACACACACACACCTCACAGCAATAGATAGCAGATTGAAAGCAAAGCCCTCGTCATTTCTAATACAATACTCGAGCAATTATCAAGCAGCCGGCAAAGGCAGCAGACGCTACGAGCAACGAGCTCAGTTTGCACTCATTTGGCCAACTTCACTTCAGGCAGTTCCGGGCGGCTCCTGTGCACCCTGGCGACGAGCATGCCACCTCCTGCGGCGCTGCAGGTGCGCCAGGACGAAGTGCAGCAGCTAACAGCGGGCAAGGCAGGTACTACGACTGGCCAATCGAAGCGATCTGAACTGATCCACTTTGGTTGGCCACTGGCCCAAACCAGTTTGCACTGGCGGCAACAGATGTGGGCAGGAAACGGGGCCAGCCAACTGCGTCTTATAAATATGCATTAGAAAAATCACACATACGCCCAGTTGCACTTGGGAATCCTAAACAAAAACATATATATATTTATAGTTCCATATATATTCCTTAGATATATACATATATTTTATTTTTATTTTATTATTTTATCTTCCGCCTCTTTCGCAGATCGTGGACGATGCATCCGCCTCCAGCATTGGCACGCCCACAACGATTTCGGCCCTGCCCATTCCGCATGCCAATCCGCATCACAGCAAGGAGGAGGAGGACGACGACAGCAGCGATGAGTTTGGCAATGCCAAGAAACCAGTGCACAAGTGAGTAGAGACCAGATGCAGTCAGATATAGAATCAATATACACGTATCTCTGAGCTATTTAGTTATGCACTTGTTTTTCATAGGCATGTTTATTTTCCTTTTATATTTTTAGTTTTTTTACTATTTGCATCTCCGTTATGTTTTCTTTCAATCTCATTTCGCAAGTTAGTGTTAATTGGCCTTTGTTACGAGCGCAGTAATAAGCGCTTGATACTTGACAAGCTGTTAGATACCCTGTAGCTGTCAATTAACAAGGCTTTTATTGAGACACAGTCCCCCAACGGCTAAGATTGTTTCTATAAACAAAGCTCGCAAGATACCCACCGCTTAGGAGCTCTTACAGGGTATTATTGTGTGAGAATTTCTCAATATTTCCGCATATATGCAGTTATACGCTGGAATTTTACGCATAGGTACTGTAGAGTAATTTAAAGTCTATTACGTTAGTTTCATTCTGTACAGGATTTCATCGAGCTATTACTAACCCAGTTTTCCGAGCAGTATTCACACTGTTTGATTACAACATTTAACTATTATAAAATGGATCAATTTATACAAAATACATATATATTTATGGTATATTCTAATAAAATGCAAAAAAAACTTTAAAACTCAATATATATAAGCTAAAATTGGAATTTTGTTGTCTAGGGCTTCATACAGGGTATCTTCAAGTGCACCTTAAGGCTTAGAAGATTAGCACAATTTGTACAGGCTATATAAAAATCAAAGTATAGTTAAATATATCATAACAAAAGACCTTGTACAGGATCTTATAAAGTCACCATCAGGATATATTAAAGTCACTCTTGAGTTCAATATATCACAGCATCGGGTTTGATATACTTTGGGATTATGACCAGGTTATCATAGAGTCATACAAGAACATCACCTAACATACTTGACACACTTCAAAAATTCGTACGGGTTTTCTTAAAGTTCCCTCTAGAACTGAGCATCCTTATTGATCATCAATGAGCAATAATGTTATGTTATCAATTACTTATATTCATCATTCGAAATACCCCTTTAAAACCCGGCCATGCGCAATTGTAACTGTCTGGCAACCTGCGTGCCCCGCTCAGTGTGGCAATTCTCTTGCTCTCATGCCAAAGTTCAGACTGCAATTAAATTAATTAATTTGGATTTCATTTCTAACTACATCGGAGCGAGCAAATTGGGTGAGTGGATTGGAGAGCGGGGAATGGGGAATGGGAAACGCAAACGTGTCATTCCAAACATTCCAGCATAGAACGATTCCATATTTTAGCTTCACAGTTGTAATTATATTCAATGGTTCTTTAGTTTCAGTTAGTTAGCCAAACGCGTTTGGTTTGTGTCAAATTTTGTTATTCAATTACCAAATTATAGTTATTATTAAACCCTGCCCAAATTATGGTTTTTTAAACTGATTATAATTGAACTGCGATTTTTTTGTAGGACCAATTAAATGCGAAACAAATAAGACCAGAGCCGCTGAACGATTATATACCCTGTACTTTCCTAACAAGTACGTTATTGAATGATGAAATAAACATTTGTTTATTTATTAGTAGGAGATAATGACGGTAGCTGTCAATAGTTCAAATCGGTTCAAGGTTCATGATTATTTATCCAGTTAATTTACAAATTTTGAAAAGATATTGTAAAATCTACTTCTGTGACAATAGTGATGGAAAGTCGAGATACTGTGCTTAGTTAATTCTAATAGCACTTAACAGCATCAAAGCTGCTAACACATGCATAAATATAATTTAAATCAACAGACAGCAGCTTTAACAGTCAGCGTTTAACTGTCAGCGCGTTGAACAGCATAATTTACATAAATACGTCTGTATGTTAAAGCCATTTAGCTAAGAGCTCCGCCAACAGCTCTGCTAGCAGCTCAGCTAACAGCTCTGCTAGCAGTTCTGCTAGCAGCTCCTCTAACAGCTCTGCTAGCAGCTCTGCTAACAGCTCTGCTTTCCCTAACATAGCGAGCGCTGCGCTTGCGCCCACATTTAAAATCTGTCAACTGCAAAGCTTTTGCTTACAGAATGTTAAGCAAGTGTGTGTGCGAGTGAGCACGAGAGTAATTCTGAGAATGCGTGTGCCTGTATGTACATATGGGTATGTGTGTACACGCCAGTAATTTTGCAGTTTAAGCGAATTAATGACGCTGCAGCGACGACGGCAGCAGATGGTGGGTGGAGGCAAAAGCAAAATCTCGCTCGTTGATGATAAGCTCATCAAATGGCAGCAGCTGAGATAGAGGCAGAGACGGCACAAATCAAGACTATGTTACTGTTGTTGTTGCTGATGTTCGTGAAAACCTTGTTGATTATCACAGCGCCTACATGTGTGTGCGTGCGTGTGTGTGCATTTACAGTTGCGCCCTGCATAGTAGTGCCGCTGGCATGTAAAATCTTAAAATCAAAGATTTTATTGATCCCGGCCAGTTTTAAACCTTCTAGAAGCATTTAAAGTTAGAAAAACCACTTATGAGGTGTAAGTGCTTGATACATTTTATAATAATACATATTATATTATAACATACTTCAATAGAAGTTTTCCCATATTGCTCTTTTTTTCAAATTTTACTTTTTATGTGACAATATTATTAAAGAAACACATTATTAAATTAAAGAAACACAGCATAATATAGTAATATATTATAATATAATGCTTCATATATTTAAATTAGAAATATTGTCCATAATCTTTGCTTTTCCAATTTCCACTTGGCTACTTTTTTAGCAGAAACTTTATGAAGTAAAAGAAGGAATAATGTAATATAATGCAATAATAAGATTATAGATTAATCTTTACTTTTCCAATTTTCAAAACGTTGACTAATATTTTGAGCGCAACTGTATTAAATTACATGCGAACTCATTGTGTGAGCAATATCTATAAAATCAGTTGAATGTGCTATTCAGGCTGTTGTTGTTGTCGCAATATCTGTCTCTGTATCTCCAGTTGTAGCTGTAGCTATAGCCGTATCTGTATCTGTATCTGTATCTTTCAATCGGAACAGCTCAGTGGATAATTGTGATTAGGCGTGATAAGACGAACGCGCATAACTCGAAGCTATCAAGCCGGAAACTTTGCTATACAGTGAACGCTAGAGTTGGTAAAACTATATGTAGACATATATGTACATAGATATAACTTTATATATAAACATTTCAATGCGTAAAGAGAAATACAAACATTTTGTAGTTGTAATGTGCTAAATTGCGTGCTAAATCAAAGTTTATGTGTCTTATCGCAAAAGCATGGATTGCGTGGCCCCTATGAAAATGATACATTATAACTATACAAGTCAATTGAGAAAAGTCGTCCAATACTTAGACACATACGTCTAATATACATACATATATATAAAATATTTAGTATAACGTGTAATTTACCCTTGAGGCTTTAGTTTTACTGTGCGTCATAAAAAAGAAAAAACATTCTTAACTATCGCTAATCATAATCATAATCAAAGGTTGCCCAGCAGCAAATCATATTCTGACAGTAAAAATTGAGAATACAAATCTAATATGAAGTCGAGCCAAAAATTAGTGGACGACAGCCACAGGAAGCTCTGTTCGGTTCGGTTCGCCAGTTCAACGCAATTTGTAATATAGATTTCATAAACATTTGTAATATAGAGAAATATAGAAAAATACCTGAGATAAGCAACGATACGAAAACCGTTGAATAGCGTCATAAATCGCAGTTGTACTTGGGGAATAGCACAGCTTGTTGTCTCTTCGTATCTGTTGCTGTATCTCGATAATTTACAATCGGCTATCAGAAATGCCCGCATTGACAGCTGAAGATCAGTTGAGCGGACAGACATCGGTTATCGACTGAATCTATCGGTATTTATGAGTCTAACCATTTGCATTGTTTACGACTCTCGGCAGGGATCGCTTTCGTAGCCGCAGACGTGCTTCAATCGCCCCGCTGCCCGCCCTCCGTCTCAACAGCCGGGAGATGTTGGCCAGCGACTTTGATACCCACAGCTTGGCCAGCAATCAGGCCTCGATCACAAGCGTCAACTCCTTGGCGAGTTTGCTTCGCGAGAAGATGCAGGTGAGTTCTGAGAGAGGGAGGAAGGGAGAGAATGATAGAGCGAGAGATGGGAGAGGTAGATAGAGAAAGAGGAAGAGTGATTAGCCGTAAGATTGAGTGAGAGTTAAAGAGAACCGTAAGAAATAGGGAGAGAAAGAACAGGAGAGAGAGAGAGATAGATCTTGTTGATTTTCACTCTGACAATGTCAGCACTCTCTTCAGATTATTGAGGAAAACTAGAAAAAAAGAGACAGAAAGGGAGGAATAGAGATAGAACAAGAAAGAATGACAGGACGAGAAAGTGAGAAGAAGATAGAGAAAGAGAGAGGATCCCAAATGACGATAATAAAGCAGAGAACTGTTGACAAAATTAGAGACAGAGAGAGATTGACATAAAGACACGTTTAGCAGGAACGAAGAATGAGAAACAGGTCACCGAAAGAGACTGCATACGAGGAACGAGAGGGAGAGTTTTTTTTATGCTAAGGCAAACAGTCTTTATAAGAAAGAAATAAGTATAAAGCTAAGAATAGGTAAGAAAAATTAGGTGCATTCCATTGTCGTGATTCAGAATGTGTAAACATCCCTAAGAGCACCCTCTGTGCACCTGAAATTGGTTATATTAGTGAATGAATGAATGGCATTTTGAGTGATATGTGGAATGCAGCTAATTGGTGGTACTTAATCAAAATTCGCTGACAGGCCTTCCCACAGCTGATACGCAAGAAGAAGCGCGAAACGAAGGACTACAAGATCAAGATCTTTGTAATCATGATGTTCTTCATCATAATCTTTCTGGTGAGTACTAGTTGCAGTTGATCTCCCAGTCGCATGGTTCTTTGGGCTCATCAAATGTTACTTACTTAGATTGGCTATGCGTATGTGGCGTACCATCATCAGGTGCTGACCAGGAGCTATTTCCAGAAGCTCAAGTTCAACTCGAAGGATCGCATCTTTCGCATACTGAGCCACGAGGACAAAGAGGTCATCATGGGGCACTTGGGCGTCACCCTGGACAGCGACACGGCGCCCTTCCACTGCCTTGAGAACCAGCGCCGAGCCGATGGCAGCGTCTGCATCGAATGGAATGGCATCGCCCGCCTCCATCTGAACTTCGAGGATAAGCAGGTGTTTCGCTGCTACACGCTCCAGTGGCAGGCACTGCGGCCGGGTCTGCTGCCCACCGATTGCTACGAGCTGAAGCGGGACAACGGACTGTGGTTTGGCGGGGGCATAACCAAGGGGCAGGAGTGGTCCCTCAGCTACGCCAACTTCGACTTCAAGCCCTATGCCAGCGGCGACCACAAGGTGCATCAGTTTGGCAACGCGGTGAAGCGCTACTTCATCAACTCGATCGGCGTGGCGATGCAGGTGAGCGAGCGCACGCCGCTCCAGCTGGGCATCAATCGGACGGAGAATCAGTTCTGCCTGCGGGCGGCCAACGACGACTTTACGTTCGTGAATCGCCTGACGCCGCTGCCTCAGCTGGATTACAAGATATGCACCACGGAGGACATGCGCAGCCTGCACATGCTGATGACACAGCAGAGCCTGTGGGACGGCCTCACCGAGCAGGACATCAGCGAGCTGCACTCGCTGCTGGAGGAGCCTGTGTGGCGCATACCCAATCAAGAGCAACGCGACCATCTTAACGAGTCCGTCATTTGCGACTACTCGGAGAATGCGATCGCCATGGGCTTGGGCCACATTGTGATCAACGAGTTCTGGCAGGAGAACATTGGGGACTTCACGGTGGATCGGGCACGCTTTCCCACGCTCAAGGACACCATCGATGTGCTGCATCGACGTGGCTTCAAGGTCGTCTTCACCATCCAGCCATTCATCAGTACGGACAGTCCGAACTTCAAGGACGCCGTCGCCCACAAGCTGCTCATCTATGAGCGCTACTCGGAGCGCAGCATTCCAGCCCTGACACGCTACAAGAGCAGCTCCAGTGCCGGCGTTTTGGATATTACGAACAATGCGTCGGTGCCGTGGCTGCTGGAGAAGCTGCAACGTCTGAAGGATGAATACGGCGTGAAGAGTTTCTACCTGGACCTGGGCACTGGCTACAATCTGCCGCACTACTATCAGTGCCGGCAGCCGCTCGACAATCCGGACATGTATGCCCGCATGCTGACCAGCAGTCTGGAGAGCGCCGGGCTGATGGCCGTGTCAACGGCCAGCGTGGTGCCCAAGCCGCCGACGTTCCTCAGCACGCCGCCGGCGAACGCAACGTGGGCGGGACTGCGGGAGACATTGGCGGCGGTGCTCAACTATGGCGTCATTGGCTATCCATTTGTACTGGCCGGAGCAATTGGAGGCGACTTTTTGCTGGAGCGTCCGTTGACCAAAATGATCTCGTTCTATTCGCTGGGACAGCCGCCGCTGCCGGACGCCGAGCTCTTCATACGCTGGCTGCAGCTGGCCACGTTCCTGCCGGCCATGCAGTTCAGCCACCTGCCGGACGAGTACCACAGCGAGCTGGTCACACGCGTCGCCCAGGAGCTGAAGGAGGTGCGCCAGACGGTGGTCATAGCGCTGCTCAAGAAGTATCTCAGCCCATCCATGAACGAGGGACTGCCACTGGTGCGTCCACTGTGGATGCTCGATCCCCACGATCCCGCCTGTCTCATTGTCAGCGATGAGTTCTCGGTGGGCGAGGAGCTGATTGTGGCGCCCATACTGGATGCAGGTCTCGAGGAGCGTGAGGGTGCGTAAGGCTAGCTAACAGTCATTAAAGTCTTTTTAACCTTGCCTGCCCTTTCAGTTTATCTGCCGCAGGGCGTGTGGAAGGATGGCATCGATGGTTCCCTGCGCAAGGGCAGTCGCTGGATGCACGGCTATCGCGTGCCCAAGGACAAGATTGCCTACTTCCGCAAGATGCCGGACAATACGCGCTTCTAGTTCCTTCTCTCACTATTACGATTGTTTATTATTCTTATCTCATTATACAATCTATAAATATATATATATAAATATACGCTCATAGATAATACTACATCATGTATAAACAAATGATGCCTAAACGATAGGCTTAGTTCCTAGAAACAATTTTTTTTTCCAACTTTTTTTTTTTTTTTTTTTGATTTGTTTTAAGTACACTTTGTTATGCCCTGCATGTTTAAGTATTAAATTAGTCTATAATATTGGCTTACGAAAGAGTAAAAAAATGTATTGAAAAGCAAATGATTCGAGTTTTTAAATGTTCTTTGGAATACATCGGGGCAGAATTTAAGGCCAATTAGAGTTGGGCAACGCTTCAAGAGCTATTCTAGGGTCTCTCCACATTATATGTAAAGACGGAATATCTGAAACATTTCCATAAGTAAGAATCTATTGGGAACTTACAGATAGACGAAACATATATTATTGCATATGTATTATACTGATTAAGGATATTACAAATATTACGCTTAGCTAGCAGAACTTATCGATAAATCGATTAATAGCCAAACACATAAATATTATTCATATTTCAAGCTTTTTTGTAAATCGTGCCCAGCTCAATAATTGTGGAATATTGGATTGGAATTTAAGCAGACTGCAGGGCATATGGCCTAATATTAAGAATCGATAATAATCGCCTATCGATAACTACACGTATAATTCGAACTTGTTCAAATAAATATTTAAAACTGTGCGTTTCATCAGCAGCTCACTTAAGTTAGCTCTCACTTTAATTAATAGCAATAAATAGTTTCCGCCACCGGATCGAATTCCAACTCCGGTTCAAGGTTGGGCTGCACTACCAGTTGCAGCTTCGATTTCGGCTTCCAGATCGGTGTCCAGTTCTACCTCTGGTCCCTGTTGCACTTGCAGTTCAGGTTCCGGTTCTATTTCCAGTTCCGACTCCAGCTACCGAAGCTCACCTCACAGCTTGAGCCGGCACTCGGGCAGCGTTGACTCGCACGGCTCCGTTTCGGGCGGCCGGGTGAGCGGACTGCACTGAGCATCCGCTACAACAACATCGTGCTGATCGAGGCAGACAACTGAGCGCCGACGCTGAGGCATGGGAGCGCCCGGCTGGCGGCAGGTAAGCGGGCAGAATTGCCAAGGACCAGGCCACCAATGGGCCGGACAAGGCTGCTCAGCGCAAGCTCGCGTCTGCCTCGAGGGTCGCTTGTTCTTTGCGTGTGTCCAGCAGGGCAGCTTGTCGGCGATCACTGGAAATGAGAGCAGAGATTGAAGAGCGGATCGTTGGAAGAGCGATGGGTGAACCTACACTTGCCATTCTCCAGACAGATGGGCTCTCGATGCTGAACGCCGCCGCCGCAGCTGACCGAACAGGCGGTCCAGTTGCTAAGACGCCACTGATGCTGCCGTCCGTTGGTCACATTGAAGGCGGGCAGCGTGAACTCGTAGTAGATGCCCGTGTTGCTCTCATTGCCCCGCACGATAGCCTGCAGAACAGAATATTTATAGATGTGGTATATATGATATATAACGGAGGGCTTCACTTACGTAGAGCGCTATGGCGTGCTGTATGGGCTGAGGTATTTTGATGGTCTCTTGCTCGTCCTGCCGATCGTAGAGGCTCTCGGCTCCAGCGATCTCGAATTCGCCGGGCATGGAGATTAGGCTGTCGCCGTTCAAGTAAAACTTATCGCCCTGCGCTCGCCCGATGGCCAGAAAGTGCGGCGAATTGGCCAGCTCCTTGATCAGTATGTGCCGGGCCCGAGCCGGTATGGTGACGATCTGCTCGTAGACGCCGTCGCTCACATTGAAAGCCTCACTGTAGATCTCCTTTATGGGCTTGCATTGATCACCAGCACCGCCACAGACACCGCAACGATCGTCCTGCATGTCCGAGTCAACGATCCAATCGCAACCAACTTTCTGAATGAAACGCTTGTTTAATTGATCTCGCCGAGCAGCTGGGCCAAAGCGTGACTCTTGCATGGTGGCTCGCACTTACCTTGCAGATGCCGTCGATGCACATGTTGTTCGTGCCCAGCGTACAGGGCGTACCGTCGAGCACCGTCTCGCCCCAGTTGGCAATGATCGTGTCATCCACATCGCTGCAGAACAGTCGACACGGGTTGTCTGTAATGTGAAACGCTCGTATTGTTATGTCGGGCTTAACTTTAATTGTGAATATTAAATTTGAATTTAGAATGATTTAGGACTTTCACTTTTCATCAGTCGAGGAACCTCCCTTACCCCTGATGTGTCACTAATCATCATTTAGTCTATGAAGACTTGGCAGTACCCTTTGCACTTACTCTTGTCGAAGAAGGGCAGCCACTTGTAGGTGGCGCCCTGGTAGCTGACATTGTCGTAGCGCGCACACTGCTGGGCCCGGAAGCTGGGCTGGTTCTCGGGACAGGGCTTCTTGCGGCAGATCTTGTAGCGTTTGCGTTCGCCGATGCAGAAGACGCCGCCGTTGGCCGGTAGGGGGGAGTCGCATTCGCGCTGCTGTATGGAGACTCCGCCGCCGCAGCTGCGCGAGCATTCGCTCCACTCGCTCCAGTTGCCCCAGCCGCCGTGGATGGGCGTCAGCTCCTCCATGCGTACGCACTTGCCATTCTGACACCATTTGTTCTTGCCGCATGCGGTGCCCGGTGCGGTGGGACGCATGTTGGTAACGCATTCGCCATTCACGCGGCACCAGAGCGTCGAGCAGAACTCGTGCGGAGCGGAACAGGCGCCCACATCGCTATCGGTGGTCAGGTTGAACTGCATGCGGCACTGGCGCTTCGCATTGTAGCGCTCGCCCGGTAGAACCTCCGGATAGTTGTACACATCCAAGGGCGTGGGTGGATCATCCAGGCATTCTCCCAGTCCTTGGCTGTAGCACACAAGATTTGTAGCTCGAGCTATTGGCAATAGGCAATTAGAGTTACTGTCTACTTACTCCAGGAAGTGGGTTATGTATTTCCGGCTGCAGTTCGACCAGCAAACCTGCAGCGTATCCGCCCCAAACGTGGGCGTCATGATGTGCACGATGGAGCCCACACGTGGATGGCAGCCGATCTTGGCCGTGTCGTGGAACATCCCAAAGCTAGAAGGCGAGTTAAAGCATTAATAAATTTGTATCTGATCATCGTTTATCTTAATCGATAATATGTGTGCCAACAAAGCTGTCTAAAGCTATCATAAATGCAAACTATATGACCTGCAATTTTATAATATTGCTTTATTTGGTTGATTTGAAAATGAACTAAAATCGATTTATCGATTTAGAGTTTCGTTAAAATGTTTAATCGATTATTGTGCCGATAAACGTATCGATTTCAAGTTTAACTGAAATGGTATATCGATAAGCCGCTTGAATTCAAGTAGAACAAAAATATGATATCGATAATTCATTAAATAACAAAGGCTTAACTAATACAGCGTATCGATAATCAACCTGACTTTACGTTTAGATAAAATTACTTATCGACCGCTTTGGAATTGATCATTATATTCTTCTTATGTTAATCGATAAGGTTATCGATTTCTATCTTAGCTACAATTTCGTACAGATAGGGTTTTCACTCTCAGGCTTATCTAAAATTGTGTAGCGACAAATTTTTCGATTTCAGTTACACTTTAAGTTTTATTTGAATTAGTGAGTAAGTAAGCCCTTTGGATTGCATATCGAATTTTAGGACTGTGACTAAATATATATAGGTCTTTGAAACTTGTAGTGCTTCCATATAGTATTAATCATATAAAGCTCGACTACCTTAAGATTGACCTTATCGAACTCTTTCGAATGTCAATTGTGATGAAATCATATTGAAAGAATCAAACTAAAAATCAGGCTTTAGCTCCAAATCCATTGATCATCTTTAACTACAATGAATGCTTAACGTAATTGCATAACTTGGAGCGGATCTTATATAAGCCCCCGTAGTGAGTCACTAGAGCACACACACACACGCACAGAGAGATGGCCCTAAATCTCGATCAACATTGTTGCAACTGTTGGGAAAGAGCATCAGTAGCTGACAAACCCCCGCCGTCTCGCCTGTTCCTATACTTAATCTGTTGAGATTTATTGTGCACATTGTCTTTGCGAAACGAGAAACAAACGAGAAAATAAATAAATAATAATAATAATATAAACATCAACAGCAGCAGCAATTTATGCCACGCTCTGCGATTCTACACTGCGGGCAAGTCGAAAACCTGATTATTACAATAGTGCTTAAACCAGCACAGTACAAAATAAAAACAAACACATGCACACAGATAAAACACACACGCACACACACACACAGAGAGGCAGAAATAAGCATATCGTTAGCCAGCGGCTGGCACCTGACGATGACCGCGCGACCCAGCGACAATCAAACGTAAATTGCACAACAACAAACAAGTCGCAGTGATGTGCGCGACAAAGATACCCTGTAATGTTCCTTTGCAAAATCAGCACAGCAAGATGAAATGATGAAGCTGGTTCGATTAGCAATTTTACTTATTATGCTATCGATAAAAATCGGGAATGTGATTGTATGATTGTAGATTTTATTTAGGCGTATTTAGGCGATAGAAATCGATTGAATTTCTTATGCAACCAAAGAGAGATATCAATTCCTATCAATTTTTTATCGATCAATTTCGATAGTTTTTGGATCAAATTAGTTTGTAAGATTCATTATTTGGTAAGAAGATATCTAAGAATACAACGAAGCTTTTAAGCTGAATATTATAGAGAAGTTCAACATTTTCGATAGACAGTTATTATTATCGTCTTATCGATCAAAATCGAATTTCTTAGTTGAGTTTCATACAAAGATAAAATTTTGATTTATCTTCATACAATATCTTGTATACAATAACTTTCTTGATAGACACATTCTCATACTCATAATTTAAATACTTTGGCAATTTATATATAAATCTATTTACTCGATATTTATTTCTTAATTGCTTGTCCTACCGCTGATAATTAAGATTGAGCAACTTAAATAAATTGAAGCTAAATTCTAGTATTGTCATAAGCTTCGATAGGGAAAAAGATTCAAGCCGAGCTCCTAAATAGTTGTAGCTTAAATAACATGGCAA